AATATGCTACATTTTAATCTTATTACTTGCCTTTCAGTGCTTTCATTTACCCACATCAGCTACAATGAGTCTAACTATGATACTGATGATCATTTAGTAATGTATATAGAATATGAGCCCATACCTAACAGCGGCTTTAATACGTGTACAGCAATGGGTGGAGAGCAGCCCAGAGCCGCGACAGGTGCTGGAGCCGCTGCCCCTGCCGCTGGCGCTGGTGCGCGAGACGCGCGTGGTGTGCGTGGGCCCGGCGCCGCTGGGCGCCCCGGGCCGGCGCCCAGCCACGTCGCTGAGTCTGGCGCCCACGGTGGAGGACGAAGGCCCTACCGCCCCTGCCACCTGGCGTACCCTCGAGGAAATGCTCCTACAAGTAGCACAAGGCTCAGTGCCTATGATATTCAAACCCACCGTAGACCTTTACACTGATTCTACCGACTGCGAACCGCTTGTGCCTCAAGGAGGTTTGTAATTTAATCCCATAGATAATTAATATGAAGATTACTATGTCCTCAAGGATTGAGGAGCCACATTAGATTTTTAAAATCTGATCTCGCCATTATTTAGCCGCAGTTTAGCTTATTTTGCAGCACGAATTCTAGATTTAGCAGCAAAATATATCACTAGTTATTTTAACGCAAACATGGCTCCTCAATCTATACGTTTGAATTGAGGAGCCACCTAGAACTCGTTAAGTAATAGATGAATATTTATGAAAATTTTGTATTATTTAGTAGTAATTGTGCACATTACCATATAACCTTACACAGTGAATTTACAAGAAACGTTTAGATTGAGGAGCCATGTTTGCGTTAAAATAACTAGTGATATATTTTGCTGCTAAATCTAGAATTCGTGCTGCAAAAGAAGATAAACTGCTGCTAAATAATGACGAGATCAGATTTTTAAAATCTGATGTGGCTCCTCAATCCTTACAGACATAGATTACTAGACTTTAGATTTTATTGGTTTCATACATAAACCCATCTGATTTAGCTCATTAGTATAAACAGTGTTATGACTTATAATTAATCAACATTCTAATAAAACCTCTTAAAAAAAATTGATAATCGCTTGATGTTGCTTAGGTAGGTTTGTAAGAACCTTGTTTAAATTACTAAATGCATCATTATTCTCTTTTCAGAACCGATCCAGATCTCCGTGACTTTGTGGAATCCATTAAAGATTTCCTTAGTTTTAAAAGATGTAGAATTATTGTGGCGATTTGTAGTGACAAGTGATGACTCTACAACTGATCCTGAAGAAGTACTGAGCAATGAACAAGCTGTGTCAGCCGGCCAAGCTTTAGAGAGTAATGTCATAGTAAGCCAGAAAATAAAATCTGTGCTTCTGGAAGGTGATTGTAAAAAAGTATTAATATTTACTGTCACCCCACTTAGAGTGGGCCGTATTAGTATTCACGGGTTGGCTTACAAGTAAGTGTGTGTTACGTATTTTATCTTCAATCTGTCTAGATAATGTTTGTACCTAATATGCCTAACAAAATTTCAAATGATGGACAAATTAAATACGTTATTTAATTAGAATCAAGTGTCTTACCATACACAAAATAGAAATTCCCAATAATAATTTGACTGATATTATTAGTCCGAGAGCAGTAATTGTGCTTGCGACTACTTGACGAGTTACTTCTTTGTTCATATTGTTATAAAATGTTTATTTATAGACTCATCAATACTGGGGAAGGCAGTACTGAAAATGGCAACAACGTCGTAATATCAGGAAAAGTTAATCTAGTGTCTGATGGAAAGAGTCTTGATAAACGGTTACAAATTACTGTCATACCAGAAGCTCCTTGTTTACAGGCAAGTATTTCTAGTTAAAAGATATTTCATTCATTCATAACTATTGGTTGGCAAATGGCAACTATTGGTACTTCAGTAACGAAACGATGAAACATATATGAATAGGCCTATGGACCTATATGATCAGAACAAAACTAGTGTGGGGGACGATGATTTTAAAATGTTTGTAATAACGATGCTTGTATACTTTATTGTAATAATGTTCCGTATTTTAGATGACGTTTTCAGAAATTAGTTCGGATATAATTAGTGGTGAAATGAGAACTGTTGATGTAGAGTTTACAAACGTGGGTCCCGTCGATATGAACGATCTCTTCATTGCTGTATCCCATCCTGATTGCGTCAATCTCATCACTGGCGATGAGGAGGATGATTTTAAAGTTTTATATGATGAAAAGTACCGTGAGCTACCGACATATTCAGGTAAATTATATGTAATAATAATATAATAATAATAATAAGCCCGCAGGGCACCTTGAGGCGAGGTGACGGGCATTAGCGATCCCGCGGGCTACCATCATCCCGAGTGCTCCAGGGAGAAGTCACCGTTCCTTCTTCTCCGGCTTGCCTTAATTGGCTGGCTGGAGTGAACAATGACAAAGAACAGGTCTCCCACCTCTGGCTTGCCTTCATTGGCTGTCCAGAGTGGAGTCGCGAGAGCAGTGATCCTGCTCGGAGGGTAAGAAACTATTCGTAAGTCGCGAGTGGGCCAGGGATGCAGGAGGCTTCGGCTGGAGCAGATGATCTGAGTAGAAAGCGGTGGTAGTTTCTTAACCCTTCAGCCACTCACATTCTCGTTGCCCCTCTGTTGCTATATCTAGCAACCATTCCCGGGGCCCGGTCGGTGAGTTGGCGAGTCTCCGC